TGGACAACAATTGTGCAATCAACAATCTCGAGCGTCCGCACGACAGCTGTCCCAGAGTCTCGACCGACGCAGGACAGGGTAGATGCAGCGGTTGGGGTTCCGAGAACGGTCAGTTCAAAAGCACTCTGAGTAAAGGCCGTGCCATTGCCAATCTGGCCAGTGATGCTAACAGTATCTCCAACGGCGCCTGTGGTTGTCACAGACAGGGTAAACCGAGCACCCGACGAAGCAGCTGCCAAGCTATCGGCAACATATGAAGCACCAGTCAAAGATGGAACTGAAAAGTCGCTGACAAAGCCTGTGGTCAGAGCATTAGCTTCGCGAGCGGTGATGGTGCAATCAATGATCTCGCCCACTTTGACAAAAGATGTGCCAGACACGCGACCCTCGCAGTCGAGCGTCGACGTGACATCTGGTTGCCCGCGGACAATCATGGCAAAAGGGGACTGATCAAGGTTCTCATCGGTAGCGCCAAGCTCGAGGTAGGCATTAATGAGCATGGTTTGGCCTGCGGTTGCGGGAGCAGTTTTATTGAAGAGAAAGAGAGCACCATCATTACTTTCCACCAACGTGCTACCTGCAACAGTAAAGTCCGAGGCTTCGCCAGTGGTGTTGCCATCCACATCTTTGACGATGATGCTGCAGGCCACAATGTCATTCTTACGGACAGTGTTGTCGCCGGTGAGGAGGCCAGCACAGTTGAGCTGGCTGTCGGTCGTGGGACGACCACGAACGACCAGATCAACAGTGTTGGCAAGCGTTGTGCTCTGATCGGCCAGGTAACCGGTCACGGACATGGCTCCGAGCGTTGTGCCTGCCGTGACGGTAAAGGTGAATTGGCTGCCATCAGTGGGGGACGTAGGGAGTTGCACGGCAGTGATAAACAGGCCGTTGACACTGGTGGGCTGGCCAAAATCCGAGGCCAGGCCGCGGGTTGTGCCACTACCATCGCGGACGGTAATGGTGCACTCGACAACCTCAAGGGTCCGAACAATGGCTGTCCCCGATTCTTGTCCCACACAGGCCAAGGTCGAGTCACCGGTTGGGGTTCCATACACCGGGATGGAGTAGGGGCTGTTGGCCAAGGCCGAACCCAGTGCTGTCACTTCAACGGTCATGGCTGAGACAGCCGGACTGACAGCAAAGCTGACGCTGAGTTCGAGGGCTGGAGCAGCACCGGGCGTGGCGAGGGCGGCGCTGATGCTACCACCAGACGTAACGGTGACAACGAAATCATCAGCAATGCCTTGTTGACGCGTATTGGTTTTGCGTGGGCGAAGAGCGCATGTTAGGGTGCCGCCTTGTCGGGCGGTGCCGGAGCAGGCAAAGGTCGTGGATGTGTCTGGCTCATTAATGGCATACAACGTCTTGGGGCTGCCAGCAATGCTTGAGCCACCAACTACGGCAGCTGACACTGTAAAAAAGACGCCGGCTGTGTCGGGGGCAGTGAGGACGGCTGTCGCGTTGCGATAGTGGTCAGCTTCCTCAACCAGGGCGGCAAGGGCAGCGTTTGCATTGGTGGCCGCGAGTGAGAGTGAGATGGATAGATCTGAGCCATGACCTGTCGAGTCTACACCACCCACTTGGTAATCAAAGGTGCAAAGCCCGAGGCGCGCAGCGCCCGTGGTTCGAAACACGGTAGATGGGGTTAGGAGTGAATTGCAGGAGTAGGTGGTCGTTTCATCAAGGTTCTCAATCATGAACATTTCCACAGGACTGGCTGGGAAGGTGGTGGTGTCGTCAACCAAAAGTCCATGGATGGAGACGGTTTGTATGGTGCCTGGTGAGGTAACGTTGAAGCGAAGAACGGCGCCATCAACGACATATTCGGCAGTCGCGCCGTTGGGAAACGTCGCGCCAACGAGGGTTGGTGTGCTGGAGAAGTCGGCCGCGTTGACTGCGGTGGGTGCGCCAGTATCCTGTGGTACGATGGTACAGGTGATTGTTTCTGACACGTGTACTGCACTGTCACCAGTTGTCAGCCCCACGCAGTCGAGTAGAGATGTATCGTCGGCGGCACCTACGAAAGCATGGCAAACGATGGAACATGATCATGAGATTTGCGTTCTGGCTGAAAACGACTCACGTGCCTCCATGGGGTTGTTGACCAGGGCATCAACAGCTTGCTACACTGACCAAAGACGCGCGTCGTCAAAAGAGTCATCACGAGGCCAATGCAGAGGAAAGCTCGCGCCCGCAGGGCGCCTGCAACGGTGAGCAGGGAGAAGGCAATGGGGGCACGGGCAGAGCGCGGCACATGGAGTATGAGACATGATGAGACGATGAGATGCAAGGTCAGTGGAGGTTGCGTCGCAAAAAAAATAAAAAAGAAATACAAATACAAAAAAAAACAAAAAAAAAAAAAAAAGAAATACAAATCCAATCAAAGGTATTGACTAGCGACACATACGTGCAGGGTCAGAAAGCTGCATGGCTGATCGGTGGCTAGAGAACAGCAAATGGAGAGCGGTTGGCCGCGCCAAAAGGGCGCGCGCGGCGCGCCGATGAGCAGTCTAAAGATGGCTGACTGCAGAGTCTGTCATAAGAGAGGAAGAAGAATGAGGATAGTGCCTGAAGCCGAGCTCTGAGACTCGGGGCGCATGATCGCTTGCCTGGTCGCTGCAGTATGATCAATGCTGTCTTGTGTGGCCACTCGGGTTTAATCTGTCATAGGAAATCATTTAATGGCGGACATTGTCGCAAAGTGAGTCGGAGCGAAAAGCTGACTGTGCTGAAAGAAAAGGGGTGCTTGGAAGCGGGATGGAGGCTGAGGGATGTTGTGAGAAAAAGAGCATGCATGAATGAATGGGTAAATCCATGGATGAGAAAGCAACAACGCATATGCATCCAGCAGGCCTCTGGCCAAGACCATTCAGGGGCCCAAGGAAGGCCAGACAAGTACAGGAGAGGACAGCATGGATATAGTCCAGCCAGGAGAGGATAGGTGCGGTGTGTTGGAGTAGCGTGGTAATTTTGGCATGAAGGGTTGAGAAATGGGGCATGGATCTGGGTTTGAGTTGCTGCGCTTTGCACTCGACGCAAGACGAGTGCGTGCTGTGTCCGTTGGCGCAGCTCGTTGTCGAGGGGTTGTGTATCTGAGGTGTTGAGAGAGAGAGAGAGAGAGCGAGAGGAGGGAGAGAGAGCCCCGAGATCGACCCAAGTGCTCGCTGCTGTTTGCAACGGCGCACCCAATCAAATCGGTTAAACCCGGGAACAAAAAAAGGGAACAAACCTATATCTCTTTCCGTTGTGCGCACGGCCCCCCTCCACTTCCTCGCCTCTTTCGGTATCGTCGAGGACGTGATCGGTATCCGCTGCGCGACGGCGGGGTCCGGCGGTTGGCGAGTCGCCTTCCGCGGTCTCTCGTTCGCTGGACGGACGTCTGGCCTTTCTTGGTTGCTTGGGGGGTCAGAAAAAGGATGGGGTCAGGAATTACATAGAAAGGGAGAGTGAAGAGAAGAGAGAGAGAGAGAGAGAGAGAGAGAGAGAGAGAGAGAGAGAGA